ATCCTAGAGGGAGCCTCCGGGTTTCAGCAGGAAGACAAATTGCACTTCCAGCTCCTCCGGAGCAGCCGAGCAGCCCTGCTCACACTGGGGCTGACCCTCCAGCCAGACACTGTCAGGCAGGTCTCTCTCCCTCCGACCCAGCGGGACCCAGCGGCGTTTAATCTCCACAGCTCCGCACCTCCTCTCGAATACTCATATCTGTCACGTCAGCCTGCGCCTGCGGCGACTGAGTTTTCTCTTTTCTATCTCTTTTTTCTTCCCCAAACCTGCAGAATTTGAGCAGCGATCTGATAAAAATAATGAAATCAGAAAAGGGACGCCTCGGAGAAAACAGCTGAGTGGACGATCTGCACTCCGACTGGGTTTCTCCTCGCAGCCGCGGGTGTTTTTCTTGGCACTGGAACGAGTGCCTGGAGAGCAAGGGGTCAGCGAGGGCAGCTGACCCTCCCCTCACACGCACGAGCTCCCAGTCAAAGCCAGGGATGCACACCCAAGCCAACAGCCGCCACACCGCGCTGGACAGGTCACTCAGCGGTGCAGCTGGTCCAGATCGGACAGCTGTCTGCCCAAGCAGCAACCTCAGACACAGGGAGTCTATTACACGGAAACACGGTAGCGCTTAAAAAACACCAATCTCAACCTGTTAAACATGTAAGCCTCTGTTCCAAGTGGAGATGTCCCCACGCTGCCAAGAGTCTGTAACAAGGGCAGCCGCCCCACATCACACCTACACACACGCGCGCGCGCGTGCGCGCGCACGCACGCACACACACACACACACACACACACACACACACACGCGCGCGCAGACACACGCGCGCTCGCTCTGGCCCCGGGCTGCTGTGATCGTCCCCCTTCTGCGAGAGAGGAGGAGGAATGGTGATGTTGCCCGTTTCCCATCAGCTGCTATGAACCTCGCCTCGGAGAGTCACTCTCCTCCGGCTCCTCCGGCTCGTCGCAGACGCTTCTGGGTCACCTCTCTCCTGGGGCCACGCGCCCTGCCCCTACCCGCGCGCCGTGGCAGGACACCCTGCTGTCACTGCGAGATCTGATGCTCGGTGTTTACTGGTATTTACAGCTAAACACACAAAATGCACTTGCAGATCAGGAAGGCGCCTGAGTGTCATCCGTTACTTTAAGAGCGACTGAGATGCAGACCCGAGCTCTAAATGCCTACCCTGCCTTAGCGCCACGTGTCGTTGGCTAAAATTTTAAAAGCCTCCCTTTGCTTCCAAAAACAGCAAAGCCGTTCCCAATAGTCAACAGAAGAGGGTGACAGAGTATCTTTCATTCATGGTTTCATTAATTATTTCGAAGTAAAATATTATCTTAATCGTAATTTAAATGATTACTTGACAGCACTAAATCTCTACCACTGCATTACATTTCTGAGGAGATTTTGAGCCAATTACTCCTGGTCTTGCCCTACAAAGCTTTTTTATTTCCCTTGTGTCCTCAATTAGTTAATTGAACCAATTACCAGCTGAATTGATCAGAATGAAAGTGATCTCTGGCAGTGATCTCTCCAGTAAGATGGAAGGAGACCACCACAGTGGAGATGCACATCACTCAAGAATATCAGAGATAAACTTTAAGAATTAAGCATTATCGGTTTCTTTGTCCAGACGTACCATAACTGGCAAATAACTGCACACGGACCAGCAGATCTGACACAAAAGGTTAAACTCCCCCTCCAGACTTGCTGATTTAAAATGAAAAAATGTAAGATTTCCCTTCCTTTCAAGTCACAGATACAGAAGGACTCAGCGCTTTTACAGGTGGTCACTCCAAGGGCAGAGGAGCGCGTCTGGCGAGTCGGAGGGTGAGAGGCGGCTCCAGCTGCAGCAGCCAGGCCAGGCCAAGCTCTCTGTCTCCGGAGCGGAGACTGGATCAGCTTTCGTCCCTCCGGAGACAAACCTGCGTGAGCTCCTCGCCCCTTCCAGTGTCACCGCCCCCGGCTTATTCAGACACACCTCGGACGTGCAGGGACAATCAGTCAACCCGCTGCGCATCCTGAGAGCGGGAACTTGAGACAGTGGCGCATTGTGCCTTGGAGGACAATACAGAGAAGGCGCAGACTTCCTTAAAGCACAAGAAACGGCAAGGGCACAGCCTATTGTGGCTGAGGGAGCACAGCACAGCCAGGAGCTGCCAAGCCATGAATCCTGATGGATCTGCACTCGGAGAGCTGGGGGGGCTGGGGGGGGTTGGGGGCTGCACCGCGGCATTACATCCAGCAAATTGCACTCGGCGTTCGGCAGCTGGTGCAAGCTGTCCATGCGAAGCCGATAATCAAAGAAACGAGGCCGCCTTGATTGCAGCGGACTGCGGAGACCACTCGGCTCATGAACGCCACGGCTGCCCCCGCCGACACAGACAAGAGGGGGGCCCCGCCCGGACCGGCGCGCCGCGGCCCGGGAGCCCGGAATCCCCGGACAGGAGTGCGTGCGCGGAGGAGGCGGTTCTGGCCAGCAGTCCAGTTTCGAAAAACTCCACACATATCCCACAATCCCATGGCCCTGCAGGCGTGTGGCCCTGGATTTGCAGCCAGCGCTCTGGGGGAGCTCGCCTTGCTGGGATCCGGGCAGAGCCGGCTGCTGGTAACACGAGCAAACACACAGGCCCAGCTCCCATCAGCCCCTCTACTCTCTCGCACGCCCAGGCTGCCAGCAGTCACCCTCTGAGCTGGGGTCTCCATTGCCCCCTTGGCTGGAGTTGAGACTGCGGGGTTGAGACTGCAGCCAATACGACACCCTTCAACCACACTGGCACCTTGCCTGGCAAACGGGAAAAAAAGACTGGCTTCCGATACCAGAGCTGCCACTTTCTCAAAACACAGGCCTGCACGTTTCTGTCCTCCGACGGCCTCCCACCTCCCGGCACGCAGGAGCGACCCGAACGCTGAGCACACAACCTGCCTGGCAGATTCTCTGTGCCTCCGGAGCACGCCAACGAGTGGCGCTGAGGGGCCTGGCACTGCAGCGGCTCAGATGGGACAGCGCAGTGCTGGGAAAGGCGCCGGAGACGTGAAAACGGGCACCGGCACACGCCGCGCAGGGCCGGGATCGCCGCGGTCCCGGTCAGGAGAGCTGTGCACCACGATCTCGTGGACTCGGGAGGAAATAAAATGTAAAATCCACATCCACAGCGACGGAAAAAAGGGCGGGAGAGTCAATCCATTTTTGTAGCTTCATCACAAACCTACAGGAGCCGATCCCCGATTCCGAAGGGCGGCCCGTTACTACACTGATCCCTGGACCGCCTGCAGAGACGACTGTCCCTGACATTCACATCACAGCCGGAGACAATATCATAATTGAACGAATCATTTCAACGTGGCTGGTTTCTCAACTCGTGTGCACAGAGCATTAAAGTGGAGGGAAACAAACAGGAGAGCAAATGGAGGCGTGTCTGACTGTGCACCAGCCCTGACAGCCTGATTTCTGAGGGGGACAAATTCAGTAGAAAATGTAGGAGCTTTGAAACACCACTGAAGTCAACGTCTTTATTTCAGTCTTAATCTTCAATAAAAAAAGCTGAATTTTATTTAATTAATTAGTCATCCTTTGCTTACTATTAGGTCAGTGACAAATCAGGTAACATAAGATGAGATCACTCTATTGGCCATATACAATTTCTTGAATTAGGAATTTGTCTTTTCAGATACCCCAGCTTGGTCTCCATGAGACACACAGACAGGGAGAGAAGCTGGGGGTCAGAGCGCAGGGTCAGCCATTTATACGGCGCCCCTGGAGCAGTCAGGGTGAAGGGCCTTGCTCAGGGGCCCAGTGGAGTAGGATTCCTCTGCCGGCCACGGGATATGAACCGGCAACCTCCCAGCCACAGGCGCTTCATTCTTACTTTTCTCCTTCACATCGGGCTGGTAAAGCACAGCTCCTGAGGGGAATCAGAGCCCATGGCATGGCAGAGCCATCCATTTCAGGATTTACCAGCCACCAGCTCTCACATAAGCCAACCACGGTGTTGGAAATGTAAAGCTCATTATCCTGTTTACAGAAAACCTGCATTTCCTGGCTTGCAGTTAAACCCTTATCACACACGCAGCCCTCCTTTCATCAGTGCACCTGGCAGAGTCTGCAGCTTGGAAAACGCAGGCGTGGATCACCGGAGAGAAGGAAGTGCAGGCATGCGCCTCTGACCCGCCCCCTTCAAGCCCCCCATCCTTGAACAGCTCTCTGGCGGCACGGTCCCGTCCCGGGGGTCCAGCAGCAATTGCAGGGGGGCACGTCCCTCACTGACAGCGCACCGGGAGGCCACAGGGGGCCCTGGCCAACAGATCCCTCCCTACCCCCCCTACCGACAGAGAGCCGCCACCAGGATCATCGTGGTCCCCGTCAGCTAGTGATGTGACCCGGCTTCGAACCCCTGATCACAGAGCCCAGGCGAGTGTGTTTCGTCGTCGAGCCACACGGGAGACTCCTGCTTTCTTCCTCCTCATCCTCCTCCCTTCCTTCATCATCCGGCTTCAAGCGCAGAGATGGGCGTCTCGCTTGCGGAGTGTTTGTGCCTCGCGGCCAGCAGCAGGGCAGAAAGCCCTCCTCGTCCCCAGCGCCGGGGAAGGGCAGGGTCTCGGCCTGCGGACCAAGAGCCCTTCCCCTCCCCCTCCGCGGTGAGCCGGGAAACAACCCGACAGCCGCGGGCAACTGGAAAGAGCGCTCGCCCAGTCGAGAGCCAGCAGGGCCAGGGGGAGCCGCGTTGCTTAAACAGGCCCAGCCTGCGGATTAGAAAGGCGGTAATCCTATCAAACGCCTCCTGCTCGTCCCGCGGCAGAGCGCTGCTGCGCGCCGACACGCTCGGCCCGGGGGATGAAGAGGCTCTCGACAGAGGGAGATGAGCGGGGAACTGCGCAGTCGATGTCGATGTCAGCGCCCCGTCAGGCAGACCCATCCTTTCCCGGCCCGGGGCGGGCGGCTCGTCGCGGTCGGTGGCGGCGGCGGCGGAGCGCGGCCCAGCTCCCTGGCGCAGGGGGCGGCGCCGGCGGCGGGGCAGAACCCATTCCAGGAAGCGCAGGTGGCAGGAGCCTGCAGACAGCAGATAAGGCCGGCCGGTCTGGTAGCGGGGATTCAGATGGATAGCAGCTTGGGGGGGCTCCTTACGAGCTGCACTTAAATTTGAAAACTTCACAGATGTTTCGGGTAAACTACGCTCCAGGCTCTGCCCGTGCCATCTTAAGAGCTCTGCATTTCTACTGCTCTTAAACACGGTAGAAATGGCCTGGCTGGAGTCTATGAAGCTGGAAACAAACGACACCACTACAATAAGCCTCCCTGTGACCCTCTCCTTCACCCTCTCCCTGTCTCTCGTTCCCACCCTCCAGCGAATGCACAACAGCCGCGTTTCAGAAGAGGGGGTGGCTGAAATCCCCTTCTTCTCATTGCTAGAGGCCGCGGTAAAACGAACACCAGATTCCAGGGAGAGGGACGAGCAACCCGGGGTGACATCTGTTTATCCTCAGAGGCGAGCCAGGGGACTTCAGGAAGAGCGTCTCGTGGCCGGTGCACGCGGGGAAGGACGCGACTGCTCTGGATGCGGTCCAGAGAAGAACAGGCGAGTGTCCCTCCCTGACAGGGACAAAGTAACTGAACCTCTTTCACCTTCAAGAGAGAAGAGTCCGGAGGGACCTCATTCAAGCTATCAAGACAAGCCAGCTGACTTCTTCAGCACGAACAGCGAAACAGAAAACTGGAGGCGGGAGGAGAAACTAAGGGTGAGTGCTATTAAAACTGGCGCTTCTTTACGCCGAGGGTGGTGGGAGTGTGGAACACGCTGCCCACCCCTGTTGTTGAAGCCAACACAAGAAACTACTGGATGAGACCCAGGGATCAATAAGCTACTAACTACCACACAGGCTGGATGGGCTCTCATTTGCAGCTGTTGGGATGCATTAGAGACACAAGCCACCTACTGCAGCATTGAGATCAGTCAGGGTTTATTGTGTAAAACACTGACTACTAGGGGGGCGACAGAGTCGTCTCCATTAAGAGTAATGTGTCCTTAAGGTTCCTTTTATTTCCCTGTAATCAAGCACCAGGAGCTGGGAGGGAGAGAGCACACACACTGCGACTGGGCGCTTTCCATTAATGGAGCTGACAGTGACGAGCAGTTAGAGCAGAGAGCCCCTTCATTTGCATCTACGGTAATGAACTCTCCCTCTCCTCACTGCACTCCTGACAGGGCTTATTTCTTTCGCTAAAAAATGAAAGGGGTTTAATTGGCACACAATTCGGTGCTTTCAGCAGCCAGTGAAAGAGAACGGGATTTTAATTATTAATTTAACGCTATCAGCTGCCTCCCCACCACGCCTTACAGAAAACATCTTTTTTTAAAATTATTATTTTTCTAAAAAAAAAGAGAAAAGAAAATGAGCGAAGCAGAGCCTGACGGCTTTTAATTGAAAGGGGGAAAATAATTCTTTCCTTTGCACTGATCGGGGGGGTAAGTTAATTTTCAGGTTCAGCTGCTTTGGTGAAACAGAAACAGCCTTTTCCAGCACCTTTTAAGGGCCTGTAAATGTCGCCGTGACACAGGTATCGTACAGACATGTTTCTTTGAGAAATACGAACCTGAAAATGAGGGCAGTGCTTTTTGTTTAGCTTGGGTTTTCCTGTGAAATGTCAGAGGTGCCACCTTTCGAAATTGCATTGATCCTGTGTGCCCCTTCCTTGGGCCCTGGGCCTTCTTCACTGTTCAGGCTTGAGAACAGAAGAGTGTTCTGAGTTCTGAAGTATCTACAACTCCTCTGGTTTCAAGGCAGTTTTTCTGATGGATGCCCACCAGAAATCTTGGCTGGCGTGAATAGTTTTTGCGTCACTGTGGCACACGGTATATTTCAAATCAAGGTGGTGGATATGCCAAGTCTAGAGATTTTCCTTGCCTCTTTACGGACTTTTCCACCCCTGCTGCACACAGTTTAGCACTCAAGGTGCAGCACTGCCATCTGAGCCAACCCAGGCCAATGCAATGCAATCAATGAGAAGCAGAAAGGAATCAGCCCATTTAGAGACGCCTGCGAATACGTCCCGATGAAAGCGACCTGTTTTCTCCAGAGCTGATTAAAAGCCATCGTGCTTCTCAATCTGGGTGGCGCACTATGACTTAGCACATAGTGCTGATCGTAAATCCTTTATAATGGATAATTCTTTGCATTAATATTGGACCTTTTTGTGCCAAAGGAGGTGACTCCATTCATCTCCAACTCGGTGCACTACAGTGCCTCACCTGCGTGGCACATAGCAGCTCCACCGCACAGCACAGGAGAGGAAGTGAGAGGTGACATCACCCATCCCAGGGGGAAGTTCAGGGATGCCACAGCGCTCATTTGTGGGGCCCCGCAGGTCCCCCACCTCCCTGTCTGCAGTACGAAGCCCGATGACCCGGTCTTATAAGTGAGCGCTCACGGTCATTTCAACACGATCCCGACTGCTAGAGGACAGCTACATCTATTATGCTCTTGGTGCAGGGAACCAGCCTGTGCATGTAACGAGAGCAACTAATTAGACGAGAAAGATTAGCAAGCTGCTGCTAAATAAATAATTAAAAGAAGAGAGCGTCTTGATCTCGGAGGGGGTTCCTGGGAGGAACCTCCCCCCTCCCAGCTCAGCTCCGCTCCTATCCGCTGGGACAGCTTCAGGGTGGCGACAGGGGGACCCCACCCCACCCTCAGGGGAAGGAGCCCGTGGGTTTGAGGACAGCCCATCGGCTGTGAGCCGGAGCGGGACAGTGTCACCTGTGGAAGCACGGTGAGCCGAACCCTGAAAATACAAAAAACCTTCCCAATACTGGGAGGGGGGAGGGGTGGGGGCTTCCCACACACAGCTGCTCTCTGTCAGCGACGCTGGATGTCCCGGTTGCATCCTGACAAGATTTATCGCTTCCAAATCTCCCCCTGGGCTTCTCTTTCGCTGCGCAGCTCCCCTGCACGACGCGTGACTGAGAGCCCACGCACACACGCGCACACACGCGCACACACACGCACACACACGCACACACACGCACACACGCGCACACACACGCACACACACGCACACACGCGCACACACACGCACACACGCCGCGTCAGCCAGAGGGCGGGGAGTGAAATACACTCTGCCTGGGCGCCGTTTCTTCTCCAAAATGCCTATTTAGACGGAATCGCCCTCCCCCCTTCGAGCCCCTCACCCTTTCACACCTCACCGGGGGTACAGGTGTGTCCACAGGGCCTGGGGCTCGCTCTCGCACAGCTCAGGGGCGCAGCCCAGAGTGGGGTGCCCTCCAGCAACCCCAGGTCGCCCAGCAGGGCCCAGACGGGGGAGAGAGGGCGAGGGGCTGCGAGGAAAGGGCCCGCAGTCGATTCGGGCCTTCAGGAAACAGAGGCCACACAACAGCAGAATAAAACTGAGCGAGAGGAAGCCAGGGAGAGGGACAGAGGGAGGAGAGGGACAGGGAGCGTGGGGAATGGAGAGAGAGCAGTGAAGTGAAAAGCTGTGGGGAACTGAAAATAGGGGCATGAGAGAGAGAGAGAGAGAAGTAATGTTGTGCAGAGAGGGAGAGTGATGGAGACTCCAGCCCCTCGCAGACCTGCCTGAGCTCTTTGAAAGCAGTCAGGCTCACTCCCAGCTGTGCAGCCAGCAGCCAGAGAGCTCTGTGCCCGGCGCACAGACCACGGCCAGAAGGCGCAATGCATTGCAAATTCTGGGCTGAAAACCACAGCGCCGTTACTTTCTCAAGCTGCCTCGCCAGAAGGATCCCTGCAGGTCACAGCGGAACAGATGCTACAGAACAGGAGAGGAATCAAGAATTCATGTGGATGGGGAAAAGACCTTGTACCACAAAAACCAAAAATACTGTACTGCTAGCATGTAAAATAAGCCTGTGCTACAGCTGTACAGAGTGACAACTTATCGTTGCTACCAGCTGAGCACCCTCAGTCCTTCATGGACTGAACATGAACTACAGTTAATGACCTCAGAAAGCTAATTCCAGGTGAACAAACACACTGCAGCTTTCTGACCCGCGACGGAGCTCGAGATTGCTGTTTATCACACAGCCCGCGTGTCCACTTCGCCGGCAGGGAGCCAGGCTTCTGACAAAGGACACCGAGATGAAACCTGTGTGGAAGATAAATCCCTCGTGCCCAGGCCCTGTTTCTGTCTGGCAGGAATATAAAGAAGGCCGCAGTGTCACTGCTCTGGGTCTCCTACTGCCTGGCCTCTTCGATCGGCCTGATTCAGACCCAGGGCCTGTCAGATAGCGCCAACACCCTCCACTCCCAGCCTGCGCCTTCATTTCCCAGTCACCTCCACCAGCCCCAGTTTTCAAAAGAGCTCTCACTAGTGTGACCTTTATTATTCCTGTCCTTTATACAGGGCTTCTCATTCCAGTGGATCCCGGCCACTTCAGAGGAGCCACATCTGAAGGGCAGCCCCACCGGGCCTCACTGCCCAGCAGGGGGAGAAGCTGCCTCCCCAGCTGGGGGGGACATTTCGGGTTGGGGAGGGCCGCACAGCCCAGGGTGGTATTCAAGGCTAACACCCCTGCTCTTGGATTTTGAATCACGTAAACAGACAAAGGAATCAAGTACTTCAATTTAATGCCCCATCTGAAAAACAGCAACCCCTACAGCACAGTGTCCCTGGTCACAATACTGGAGCACTGGTTTGGAGATTCTTGTTGGTGGGGAGGATCGCCACCTACTGGTCCACTACCATCACTTGCAGCTGATCCAATCCCAGTACTGACCAGGCCCAGCCTTGAGGAGCTACCAATTCCTCACTAGATCAGGCTACAGAGTTTCAAGAGTTCTTTGAAGTAGCTTCTGAAAGATTAAAAGGGTGCCAACACACATGTGTCAATTGAGGACTATTGCCTTTCACGAAAAAACATTTAGAAAATGTAACTGATTTTTTCCTGCAGCGATGAAACATAAAAGCATTAGTGAAGCTATCCTGCATGATAATGTCAAAAAAAGTGAAAGGCAGATTCAAAAAAGGGTAATTGAGAAATAATTACTATGTCAAACAACACGAGAAACAAGGATGATTCTATCAATCAGTCAGCTAATGAAGCAACTAATTCATTATCTCAATCACTATGAATGAATTAAATCTTTTTGCAAGTCTAGAACCTTGCTGTTTTGACAAAGACTACTTTCTGTGCTTCTAGGACACCTCAGGCTACAGGAAGGGGCCGAGTCTGCACCGCACTAGACATCTATCTCCATACACACACTAAAACACACACACGCACACATACCAACACACACAGCCTCGCAATCTCATGCACACCCAAGCACTAACATGCACGCCCACACACTAACACAAACACATGCGCACACGCCCACACACATGCGCACACACATGAAAACCACGAAAACCCAGATGCACATGTAGGCACACGTGTGGACACACATCAACATGCATGTGCACACTTCACACGCACACTCCCCCATTACTGCACGAAGCTCTTAATAATTCTACATCACATTACCATTCATTTTTTTGTGTTACGTGACTAGTGACAAATAATAATGTATGTTTAATAGTCCCTCTTAATATTCCTCATGAAAAGCCTGAGAACATGCAGCTTCGAGCTTTCATAATTATTTAGCCTAGAGTGTACATCATAATTGAAAGTGTCTGCCAAAATGTTTCCTTGTAAAAACCTTCCATTAAGGACATCTCAGAAAGCAGTGCAAAAATAGGGGGAAGGAGAGGAAGAGTTTTCCCCCACTGGGAGCTGCAATTTAGCAGAAATGCAAATGAATCTGCCGTTATCTGATCAATTAGGGAATCATAATCAATTCTGAAATGAGAAATGTATTCCCACGAGGGAAAATAATATTGTCGGTTTAAACAGAATGATTCCCAGACCAATTTGTTCAATCAGACTTATGACGGATTATGTCTTTATTTCCATAATGGTGCAAGACGCTATCAATGTGAAATTAAACAAAATCACAGGGTAGTACTGCTGTCTGAACAACACCTAGAGGATATCTAGAAGTCATTCTGCAGTGTAAACAGCGATTTTAACTTCAAATTAAATTAGTCAATGTACATTTTATACACAATTTCAACTCCTTGATTACACACTGGGCACAGAGATGTACAACTGGATGTTTTTTTTATATTTCAGTTGGACCTAACTGAAGTTAGAGGATATTATTCTACTCTGTAGAATTAAACTGAGTAGCGACACATGTCACCTTCCATCTGGGGATATCCGTGTGGAAGTGGTCCCAGAGAATTCCACAAGCCGACACCTGCCACAAAACACGTGCGCCGTGTAGCCATGAGATCCAGCACTGGCTAGCGAGGTCTGTGGTGCTGTGGAGAAATTCGCCCCAGCAGTGGCATTTACACATCTGTTGCCCTGTAACTAACCAGGGGCTGAACCCTTTCCAGTTTCTCTCAGGACCTGTATCTTTATTCCGTTTTCCTTAATCTAGAATCTAATAGGGCTGGCAACGCGCAGAGGGTGTTAAATAACGTTTCACATCTCCACTGCCAGGAGACAGTGCTGCTCATACACATCACAGCTTGAACGCTAGATCCAAGACAGCAGACCCAGGACCTGGGAGAGCTCAGCTCCTTCACTCGGGTTACCGCGCCAGCAGACCCCTGACAGCAGGATCCCAGCCCTTGGCCCTGCACAGACTGTCCCCGATCGATCAAGATTAATCGAGAGGTTTCCTCTGTCCCACTGGGGGGGGGTGTTTTCCTCTCCTCTGTGCCTACACGCTCAGCTGCTGTTCTACTGCTAACTGCAACACAGATCTGCAAAGTGGCCAGTGGCTGTGAAGGGCTCTAAAGCAAATACAAGATTGACCGGTCGAGCTTCTGCGCGCTCCTCAGCACCGCTCTGCAGCAGGCCGACGTGTGAGCGGGTGTCCACTGCTCCTGCTCTCCCTACAGCCTGCCTCTCCCAGCTACTGGTCTCCATCCACAGCAGCAGCTGAGTGAACAGCTAGGGAAAGCAGGAACTGCCTGTTTCGCCCTGTCGCTGTGAGGAAGCTCTGGCTTGTAGGGACAGTTGCTTTATTGAGCCCTCTCCTGGCACTGGACAGTGTATCAATGAGTTCTGAGGAAATCGATAGATAATGCATGAGGAAATAAAAGCTGATATGATATCACGCCAATCACTGTTACCACTATATTGGATTTTTGTCGTAGCTCACTAGAGATATTAAGATATTCAATTTTTTATGACATTTATTAACAGCTATATATTGTTTGACTCTTTTGCATTTAAAACCCCCCGACGAGCTGAAACGTCTTTGCTCTTCAGGCAGTGGAGAGTGGGACAGGGGGCCCTGTCCCGGGAGTGAGGGGGATATATCCGTGCCTGGGCATCGTGGGGCTGATTCCGACGAGGACGCCCGGGGCTCAGGGCTGAGTGAGCGAGGGGGGCAGACCTGAGCCCAATCTCTTTGTCAGCAGGTGCTCTGGGATCTTTAATGCCTTCAAAGCAGATGGGATCTGCACTTAACATCACAGCAGGGGGACCACTCTGCCCAGTCTTTGTGCTGGTGGCTGATAAGTGGATTAGGACGCACTTATCCCAAAGAAAACGGCGTAGCCAGCGCCCTAACCCGACCCCAAGGTCAGCGCGCCTCCGCTGACTGGAGAAATATTCAAATCACTCCGGTCTCTCTGTCCCACAGCGGCCCAGCATGCGCCGACTGACAAACCCAAGATTAAAGTAACGTGATTTTATCCCTTTCGAGAAAAAAAAAGATCCTGTAGCCTCTGTTACTTTGATACTTGGAGAGAAGAAAATCCATTTTAACAGTCTTCTGGTGATGCACTAGCACAGCCATGTGGCTGGATTAGGAACTGCACACCACACGGATTTAATTAACACACGGTGTGAACTGCAGCCGGTCAGAGCCACAAAATCCTGACAGTACACACTTCTGATCAGAATGTTCCAAACAAAAGCTTGTTCATTTTAGTGTGGATCACACCAAACAATATCAAAACGAACCAGTAATAGTAAGCATAATATTATACAGTGACTGCAGTTGTATTGAGAAATTATTATTAATTAAATGCCCCATTTTGAGACTCTGAGGTCTAAGCTGTCCCAGTGGGATCAGTGCAGGTCAGGGTCTGACCGGTGTGGCAGGCATGGTCTGTGCAGTCAGCAGGGTCAGAAGAGACAGAATGGGCTCTGTCTCACCGCCAGTACTGGGGAACCATCCGCCCCAGTAGCAGTCCTCAGTCTCCCACTTAACGATTAGTCACTTAATAAAATAGATTAGATAAACTAACAATCTCCAACCCTGAAAGGCTACTAATCCAGCAAGGCTTGTCAAAGCATCTGGAGAGATATGGAACAATTCCACTGTGATCAGTTTAACAAATCAAGTAATTTATACTCCAATCATTTATGACTAAAATCTCAATAAACATCAGCCCTCAAGAACCAAGCTTCTTAAGTTCAATAGTCCGCAGATGCCAATCTTTAAAAACAGGTGACTGTCCAGACTAACTGGACTGGACTGTCCAGGACCAGGGCTGGAGACCCCTGATTTAGCGTGACCTGTAAGACTGACTGGATCCTCTACAGTATGTTCCAAGAACAGGGGTGAGAACTTGTTATCTCACAAGGCTCATAAACTACACCGATATCAATGTAAGATGACGGATACAGACAACAAATAAGCAGACTGCAGTTAAAAATATTTTGATGCTGTTGTTCAGGTGTCCGATTCTGCTCTCTCGATTGCAGTCTGTAGTGTGCTGCAGCCCGAACAAACTGTTCATTCTCAACTCACTGTGCACTCCTAAAGAGCACTCGACTTCTGTCCTGCTCCTAAATCCATGTGATTATTCATGTCTTTCTGGTGTGTCCTGTTCTGTGGCCTGTTTACTTCCTGTGTCTGCTCTGCTCCTGGCTCAGCATTGAGGGTACGAATGTCGTGACCCCCGCCTTACCTGAGCCCGGGCTCACCTCCGTGTTGCTCCTTTTGCTGCCATGCATAGGGTCTTTACTGCTCTCCTTGGCATTCCACGGCTTGCCCTTTCCGACATCCGTGAGACACTGCCACTCCTGACAGTCAGGAATATCAGTGCGCATTATGCCAAGAATGGAAGGTCACAGCAGGGGGCGTGACGTTCGTCGGCCAGGGCAGAGCACACTCCTTTTGCAAGGATGACCGCAGTGTGACACGGCAGCACTGCAGTCAGGCACAGAGAGGCCTGGTCAAGTCGGACCGCTGACCAGAGTGTGGCAGCAGAGTAAAGGTGTGTTATAGGCATGGTGCAATCAGAAGCAAAGTATAAAACCACAACAATGCATCATGTGTAAGAGGGCAGCAGGTTCAGACAAGATGTCAGCCCTTGTCTGGACCACAATCCCCAGAAGGCTGGAGGTAAAGAGCTGGTCCAACAGTTACTAGAGGACTACTGGTCAGATGACCGTATAAAAACCAGGAAGCAGAGGTTTCAGGGTTCAGTTCTATCTTCTGTCTTGAGGAGAGATGGAGCTGACTGACTGAAAGATCAAGGAATTGGTGAGTTCAACAGTTCGAGTCGAGTTTTCTGAGCTTGGTAAGAAGCTTACCTGCCTGGCGATACTGATAGAGAAGGACCTGAAGAAATTTAGCCAGAAGTTCAGGAAGGAACTAGGCTATTATTTTGGTTGGCTTTGGATGCATTTTCTTGCAGTGTAAATAGAGAACAGTTGGTCGTGATGGAACAGACGCTGCTGGGCTTCACGGATACAGAAACAAGAATTGTGCCGGCTTCCCTTAGTACTGCTCAGGCGCCACTCCTAATCTTCACCACAAGATGGCGACGGTGCTTTTCCCTATTCATATCCAGGGCTACTCAATACCAACAATACCAGTCAGACGAACCCGAACACGCTGCAGTGCTGACAGTGACACGAGCTATGCTCTCCTCCAGATTCCCCGCATGTCCACTACTCTGACCTTTGACCCTCCGGTCGCGGAGGTTAACCGGTGATGGATCTGGCGGAGATGCTTAAGGCCAGGAGAGAGGCGCAGGCCTGCAGGGCTGGTGATACCCACAAGGCCACCAGCCCGTGTCGAGCACTGGCGCCCCAGATGCCCGAGGCCTGGTCACAGTGGACAGACCCTGGCCCTTCCCTCTGCCACTTCAGGAAGTAATCAAGGAAGACTGGCGACATTTCTAATAAAGCCGCCGAAACCTCATGATCTTCCATACAAGGTGGTGTACGCAGGGAATCTGACAATCATTCCCCGGGAATTAACAATCTCTCGTCGTTGTTGCTTTGTTGACGGTTCCGAGCAAATCCCACAGCAGGTCTGCAAGAGCACTGCCACACCCCCCAGTCTGACGAGTCAGCCCACACCTGAGAGCATTTCGATCTTCTTCTTCTTATTATTATTATTCTCCACTAGATGGCCCCCAAATACAAAAAACTGTGAGGCACCTGTCCCCAAAAGGGAGCTCGCAGAGGGCACAGCCTCTGTGTCTAGAGCAGAGATGAAAACCAATCTGAAATAACACCCTGTCCCGTCATGCGTCCACAGCACGGCCCAGCCCAAGGCACAGCCACAGAGCTGGGAGCTCCTCCTGCCCTCTCCCAACCCTCTCCAGTCTAACATGTTTTGGGCTGCTGATAAAAAGTTTTAAAAAATTCTTGACAGAAAAGTCCTGGAGTCAGACATTGTGGGCTCCTCTTCTTTCAACGTGTTCCAGGCCCGGAGGAAATGCAGAACCCAGAGAGTTAACCCGTGTGACCGCGGGAGCACAGCGCAGGCCGAGACACGCTGCTGACTGAGGCTCCTCTGCACTGGGGAGTGCTGCTGCGCCTCACATCTGACGAGTTCATCAACAGCCCCAGGGGAGCAGGTTAGTGTGAACCCGGCACGCTGAGTGCAGCTGAGGTCACGCTGCCTGTCAGCCAAAAGGAGGCCTCTTCAGACAGCAGGACTGTAATACCGTTCTGTCCCGGGAACAGAGGCTTCCAAGAAAAACCAGGACGCTGCTAGAGGTAGTGTTAGTGAACAACAGGTGGTGCTCTTTCCCCGTAACACAATTTCTCTTTTTACACCAGTTCCCCAGCGACAGAGAGCAGGCGCACTGCTTCAGGAGCTGTCAACCTGAGCTTGCTTGTGGTCTTCTGTTCTTAAAGGCTTAAGGAAATTAAAATTTAGGAGGGAAACAGTAACTGTGCAGGTGTGGAACAGGGCTAGCAATTAGGGGAGAGTCCTGCTAGGTATTTTAGACTAAAGACAAAAAACACAGGAGAAAAAATCAGACCAGGCATGCTTACTCAATAAAAATCAAAGTTGAATCGACATGGGGCTCCCTGCAGCTGCAGAGTCCTGAAACTGCTGTCCTTTTCTCTCTGTAAGAGTGCACCCCCTTCACTGCCTTGACCTGAGCTGAGACAGTTCACCCCGTTTTGAGTCAGATCCGGTCAGCCCTTATCTTAACAAGACTTAGCTGCCCTCCATCTGCCTGCCAAAGTGCTCTGTGCCACAGAAGGCACAAGTCCTCGTGCCCCAGGAAGCACAATTCTTAGCAGTGAACAGCAGGCTGCCAGCTTGTGACATATGTTGTAATGTCTTCTTAAATTCCATACACAACACTTACATCCTCGACTGCGGAGTCTCTGCACACACAGCTTGGCCTCCTTTAGCTTCAGGAGCAACTCCTGTATGTGCAAACAAGCCGAACTGAACATTGCTGAAGATTTTCTCGAGACCTGTAATTGCATTTCGGAGAGCTCGCGCTCCAGATCTTAATTTCCCAGGTTAAAGTGTTTGTGCTTCAGTGCACAGCTGCTTTCACCGGAGGTAAACAGTTATGGCTAGAAGGAAAGGCACCGAGACAAGTCCTTGTGCTCACTCAGGAACAGGAGCAAAAGCCATTAAGAAATCTTCAAGAGGACCCACGCATAACCCACATTCTTGTATATACTATATTACAGCAGTTAATAAATAAAACAAGAGGCGGAAATGCAGCAACTATTTATGCTCACGTCTTTGGTATTTCGTTTTTTTTTCCACAGCAGAAACTTCCTGAGCTCTCTACCATTAATTCTCTCTCCCTCCTGACCTCTCCTGTGGCAGGTCAGTTTCAGCCCTGACTTTGCTCTTCGCCCTGGGCACACTGCACTTCTACAGGCATGCTGAAGCCTCACTTCCTCGGTTGCAGAGACCCTGCGTGTCCACAGGGGGCGCTGTGGATCTCATCCAGCGAATCCCTGCAGCCCTCTCTGCAAGTGCCGTAGCCCAGCCAGGCCCCACCGTGCTGAACGCATCTACTCCCTGCCCCAGAAACAACGGGCTTGCCAGAGCCGTTAAAACATACTTTGGCCACAGTCATCTGCATACGGACCTGCATGATGTTGAGGGTTCGATCTCCAGAAGAGTAAGAGAAGGAGCGCGTGACACCCATCATCATACAGTGGCACTCACAGCCCATAAGCAGGCTTTTAAAGTGCAGGTACAGCACAACACGTGCAAGCCGCGTGAAAACAGGTGATTTTCCTTCTCGTTATTTCCCCCCCTTAGGGAGCAGAGCACAAAGGACTCACACACCGCAGTGAGCGGAGGAGCAGGACGGGCCTGTATGCTCCCAGTGCTCCCAGACCACGCAAACGCCAGCTGGCGCAGAGTGGGCCTTTCCCCGCCTGTGTGGTAGAACTGTTTACCGACCTGCCCTGCCGCACACACACACACACACACACGGAAGAGCACTTTCACAAACAGCTGAGCTGCCTGAGCCTGCGAGTGTCAGTCCTGCCACAGACTGGAGAAGAAGGCCCGTCTGGCCTGGAGGAAAAAAGGGGGGACACCAAAACGCCAGGCGGCGGCAAGCTCCCAGCCTCAGGGTGCCCCTTCCACGTGCCCCTCAGCCTCCCTGCACTCACCAGGGCCGCTCCCTGGCAACCCCAGTGGCCTGCAGGGCGGCGCTCAGCTGCAGGAACGCACAGAGCCAGCAGCCTGGGAGAATCCCGCCGGCCCGGGCCCAGCAGGACCCCGGACAAGCGGCCACCAATAAATCAATCAATCGATTGATCGATCACTGACAAGCGTGGCTTTCTTCCCATTAAACATTTCTGTTAAGGATAACCACATGGCCAGAACAGAGAGAAGTGAGTTATTCACTTAACACAAGACGTTAAGTGCAGAAGAGTGAGACGGAGAAGGAGTGGGACCGACAGGCTCACCCAGCAGTATCGGGGTCCAGAAAGAGGGTTTTTAAAGTGTGGGTAAAGCAAAAATGCACAGGCCGGCTACAAACTGTCCATTCCTACCAAATCTGTCTAAACATATAACAACAGTCTCTCAGGTTTACTGGGGATGGATGCAAATTTCTCTAATCCAGCACAAATACTGACTATGTTCCAATCTCGGGTTGAAGTGGAAAGACGCTGTGGTCTCCGAGCTCCGGGCCGGTGCTGTATGTGCGATCCCACCGGGGATCAAAGCCACAGCCCCCACTCTTCCCACACCGCGGGGTTCAGGGCTCTGTTTACTCCGGCACGCTGGGGGGCGGGGGGCGGCGTGGACATCAGGAAAGGAACTGGTGGGCTCACTGTCGACGACAAAGCCAGATGTGCAAACTGAGAGCTCGTCTGGCTGAGATCAGGTGTCTCCTGATGAAAATCTCTTTCTCTCTCAAGTGCTTGCGGGTGTCGCCAGGAAAATCCCACCAAGAGCTCTTGGAGTGGGATCTCACGTGGGATCAGAGCCTTCACACCGGGGCGTAATTTCATGCAATTCCTCCAGGAACGTCCGAATTAGACTGAACACTCGTTTTAAAGAACCCTGAGACCTGCAGCTCGAGACGACGGATTTAAAGTGCGGCTCGTGCGTGCCTGCACACCCCAGGAGCTTTCAGCTCAGTATGGCCTCTTCCTGTTGCAAGATCCTCTGTATGTCCAGCTCTTAGCTCAGGTTTCGTTCCCTGTGAGCAATGCTGGGCTTTTTTCTCGTCTTCATTAACAGCTGACCTCTGTCATTGTGTTGTGACGAGCAGTTTTTTAGCTCTGTTTGCTTGTGGGGTACAGCAAAGTTTTGACATGGTACTGTGTTTTAGGCCAGCTCAGCCAGGTACAGGGCACTGGATGCGTTTCAGAACCGCACGGCGATGTCCAGACTTCAGATGCATCATGGGAAGAGACTGCGAAGGTCAGCGGACAGCCAGAGCACACAAACAGACACACCAGGCCAGTTCCTGTCCCACTGGACAAACCTAATACCACCGATGTGTCCTGGTTTGCTTGCTGATGTTGTTTAATACTGCAGGAAACTGGATGTGGACTCTGCATTTTCTTTTTAAATCAGGTAAGCTTAACCTCACAGGGTTAATACTATCAAGAGTAGCAATGCATTCTCTCTACCACTCGGTAGTAACGGGTGCGAGGCAGGGCAGACAGACACACACTCGCAGCAGGGACAGTTTTCCCAGAAGCCAGTCAACCCACCAGTATGTCTTTCAGCCATGGGAGGAAACCCACACAAACACGCAGACATCAAGCAGACACCACGCAGACTGCACCCCAGGAATGGGGCAGATAACCACTGCGCCACCAGAAATTCATACTGCATTTAAATTAAAAGAGTTTTGTAATTTTTTTGAAGACAGATCACTTTTTATTTTCTGTGTATACTACCTGACAGGATTAGTTATAGACATACCCAGTGTTCTGACAGCAACTGACAGCAGCTATTCGGTGTATTTTGCAATTTATTAGCACTGTGCTCTCGGCCCATGCTGTTATACTTCTGCCCTCCCTTACCAACAGCAGAAAATTAACATAATTTCCAACTTCACCGAATCCAGCATCCAGGTGAAAGGCTATTAGTGAGAAGCTACCGTGTCTGTCTTTCGATAGGCACTGGGAGACCTTATATTACTATATCTACACCCTATTTCAATCACTGCAGAGCTCAGGTTATTAAGACATGTAAAAGAAGGAACATTCAACTTTGCACCTGGAGGATGTTTCCCATTTTTCTAGGCTTCCTGCACTGAGCAGCACCTCCTGAATGACTCTCCTCTCAGAGCTGCAGAGCTCTCAGGTCACACACACCTAATGGCAAGCAGAGCCAACCCTGTGCCGCAGCAGTAATATCGTGTCTTATATTTTTTCACGCAGTGCCAGACTGAAGCATTTTGCACTCTTTGCCAGGGTGGTGCTTCAGCTGAGAATGATCCTCATCAGACCAGCAGCAGTATTTCTGAACTTGTTACACAGTTTCCTGCCACAGTTGCCACCTCTGTTAACGACTGATACAAACTAGCCACCGAAGAGTCGTGTTTCTTACAGTATCTTACTCCCGTGTGGATGGCTGAGCTGAGAAAGCAGGGTACCAGAGCACACAGAAGAGAAATGGAGATGCTACTCACCTGCAGGGGCCATCTTGCGGTCTTGAGTTAGCAAGGGACAGAAGAGAAGAGAGAGGACAATTAGCAAGCAGACAAGCAGAGAGGCTGTGACAAGGAGTGTGTGGGGAATAATGACCCTTGATTTACACAGGCAAGTGGTTTGAGAACAAAAACCCACTGACACCGAGGAGCAGGGCTGAGAGGCACCGGAGACAGGGAGCAGGGAGAGAAACGAGGGTGCAATCAGGACGTTTATCTCACGGTTAACATGCACCAGTGTCGGGCAGAAAAGATTGAGCCACACAGCTGCAAAGACACTCACAACAGGAGGGAGAGGGGGAGGGAGGGGGAGAGAGTGGAGGTGTGGGGGCTGAGACACAGCACCGTTTGAAAACTGGAAGCACTTCCAGTCCCAGGCCATCACAAGGCTTCACAAGACCCGGCAAAGAAGAGAACCCGCCTGCAGACCCCAGCCAGAAAGTCTACACCACGGTTCCCACAGGACATCAGATTATTAATTAGGTTTATAATTAGATTCCAAGAGCCATAAGAAAGTTTTGAAAGTTTAATGATTAAGAAAAGAGGGACTGTTTTCTTTTCATTGATGTTTTGTGAAACAGGGGAATTCTGCCCTTGCTTTCTCAAAATCCTTGGCTTGTTGCCCTTCCTGCATATTTAAAGGCAAAGAAATTTCTTCTGGGATGAAGGAGATTTCAAATGAACCTCTTTCCTCCCACCAGCGCAATCCACTGTGTTGAGATGGGATTAGGGACCGACAGGTTCACTTGCAGCGCAGTGCTCTTCCCTATGGACTGGAAAAGCCCTGCGGAGCAGAGTTCTCACCACCTGAGTGAAGGGGCACCCGTGGGAAACTCTGCTGCTTCGCCTCTCCATCGTAAGAATCACAGATTAACCCTCGCCGCTCCGCTCACAGCAGAAACCCTCACGCTTGCAGAGGAGAGGAAGCCAGCTCCACAGCGACCAAGAGGGCCAGCTTGTGGTGCCCCCTTTCCACCGGACTCTGAGCCAAACGCAGAAAAGCATCTCAAGCGATCCCCGATCCCCGATCCCCGATCCCTATGAGCCGAGCGAGTCAGGACACACAGAATAACCACGCCGAACATCAGGCTGATGATGCTTCGCGTAACAGCGAAAAATAGAGAGCCAGGGAGTCCGGAGCAGGTTAGGGGTGCTGCAGTCTTGTGCCTAAGCCCCGTTCCAGACTCTGCACGCAGCGTGAACAGTTCACCCGCTGCGGCTGAAGCTCAGCTCGCGACCAGGCAGCTCTAACTTCGGAGTCTCACAGCACGGCCTCGGGCTCAGCCCGGTCATTTGCGCAGTGCTCAGGGACACCCAGGACGACTCACAGCCTTCCCCCCCCGGAGCCCAGCCGCGTGATCTGCAATAAAACAGGCCTCGTCCTGCGCTCTGTGTGGCCAGCCGGATTGATTTGAGCAGCTCGGGAACCTCATAGTAAGTTCTTTTCAGTGTCAGTCCTATTCTCATGCAGATTAAGGATGGCTGGAGGAACAGCGCCTACGTGCAGGGGCTCATCCATAAAACATGGCAACGCTGGGGGAGTGTTTACCCCAGAATAAAAGCATGTCGCACAGCCATGTATTATTAAGACCTGATTACAGAAAGACGCTTCCAGCAGCGTCAGAGACTCTTTGCAGCCCCCTTCCCACTGTCCTTTGCAGCAGCCAAAACTTTAAGCCTCCGTGTGTGTGTGGTGTAAACGTGGAGCTGTATTCGCTGCTGAGCCCAGGCTGAATGCTCACCTACTTTGTCAGCTACGCCTTTCTAGTTAAGTGTTTGCGTTGGTGCTGAGCGGACACTGGTCAGAGAGAACAGAGCCACAAGACCGCTTGCCCACAGTGCTTGTTTGTCTGTGGGCCCGCGACGTGCTTTAGGAGGACTGAAGCGCGCTGGGGGCTCGGCGGGTCTGGGCCGTGGAGCGGTGGGCTTCAGAAGTCAAGGGCCTTCGTCCCACCCCAGCGCCACTGTGCCGCCGCACCGCGTGTGCAGCATGGAGGTGCGTGATTTGGGTTCTCATATTTAATGATTTCTACATGCAGTGCGACTGGGAGGCCACAAATATTAGGCTACTGCCCCCCCCAGCCCTTTTGGAAATACAAAACAAAGGCTGCCAAGTCCTCTGTCAGGGCAGGGCAGCATCATGGCGCAGCTGGGCACAACATCTGACACTTGGGGGCGCCGTTTCGATCCGTCCCAACTATCCAAATCTCAGTTCAAGCGACAGCAAAATATAACAGTCAAGCTTAAAGCACAAACACAGATGATGTTAAACAGCAGCGTTTGATTAAAATCTCATTTCGAGACGCCTTCTGCTTTTTTCTTTTTCCCCAGACAAAGTCTCTGGGGTTTGTTAGTCAGTAGGAACAGAACTTTAAGCTACTGCCAGCTTCTGCTGGATGTGAAGTGTGGCTCAGTGTTCGCTGTGCCTTTAGGGTTAAAAAAAACAGCTTTGATGAAGTTCAGGATAACATTACTTGATAAAAAAGATCCAAAACATTCCAAGTCTTTTTTGTTTTGTGTCTGAGAGACAGAGTGAGCGGTGGTGTTTGATCTGAATGGAACACTTAAGCCAAGTACACTGTGTGTGTGTGTGTGTGAAAGTGTGTGTGTGTGAGAGTGTGTGTGTGTGTGTGAGCGAGTGTGTGAGAGTGTGTGTGAGAGTGTGAGTGTGTGTGTGAGAGTGTGAGTGTGAGTGTGTGTGAGTGTGAGTGTGTGAGAGTGTGTGTGTGAGTGTGAGTGTGAGTGTGTGAGAGTGTGAGTGTGTGTGTGTGAGAGTGTGTGTGAGAATGTGAGTGTGTGTGTGAGAGTGTGAGTGTGTGTGTGAGAGTGTGTGTGTGTGAGAGTGTGTGTGTGAGAGTGTGAGTGTGTGTGTGTGAGAGTGTGAGTGTGTGTGTGTGAGAGTGTGAGTGTGAGAGTGTGTGTGTGAGAGTGTGAG